CCGGGGGGGGTTCAAGGCCAGTTTGGATGAACCTGGAGCAACCTGGGCTGGTCGAGAGGTTGGATCAGATGATCTCTGAGGTCCCTTCCAACCTCGGCCATCCCAGGATTCTGTGAATGTATCTTATCCCAGGAGACCCAGAAGCCCCTCGGATCAGTTCTGTGACTGTGGACCCAGCGTGATTCGTTTTCTCTCTTTCACTGGAGCGGGGGCAGGAGCAGAACCTGTCGTGAAACAACTGGCCGTGTCCAATTTAAATCACTTCGTTAGCCGTCGGGTGGGAATTTATGGAGTTTTAAATGCAGAGTTAAAGAACAGGGGTTGGAGCACCAGAAGGCTTAGAATTAGATGGCTCTAGGCAAGAGGGTCTGATGGGTCTACGTTAACTTTCTCTTCCACTAATCTGATGCTTACTTTCTGCATGGAAGTGAGGAAGGCTGTTGTCTGGCAGAATTTTGAAGCCATTGTGTAAGTATAACTCGTCTTTCAGTTGCCATGGACTCGAGGGTGTTGTGTATAGCAAAAAGACTTCCAAACCCACAAGTCTTGTAGCAAAACCTAACAGCAGGCTGAGACAAAGGCCAAAATCTTCCATGGTTTTGTGTTGTAAGATTCTGCTTCGCTTTCCATAGCTTTAAAACTGCCACCAAGCCTTGTGGTAGGAAACTCCACCTGACGGTGTGTGCTCTCTCCCTGGCTCAGCTCTGGTGATCCTCAGGGTGTTCCTGAATACTAAAGACACTCGCCAGCCAAGTTTTACTTTTTCCTCCAATAACCCTTTAGATTTCTGTCCTGAAGCCTTGCACGTGGTTTTTAGACTAATATTTTGCCTAAGAGCAACCTGCCTAGAAGTGAGGATAATGAGGGGCTTAGATTTCACCATACGGGACTTAAAACATGTCTTAGAAATCAGCTGCTTTTATAAACACGGAGCGTCTCGAACACCCAGGTTGCTTTTCAGAGTGGGAGCATTCTGGTGACAATGGGAACATTCGTTACGCGTTTAAAGGGCAACAGCAGCTTGAGATGTTGGTCCACTCTGAAAGTTTTGGGAGCTCACCCTTTGCTCTCCACATCCAAAACAAATTTCAATACCAAAATCCACTGTGTTAATGGTAAGGCTGAAAAGGTTCCAGAGCAGACGCCCAAGAACGAGTGAGTGGATGTGGACAGAACAGGGCTCGCGTCTTTCGGACGTTTGCTCTCTTTCCTGGTCTTCAGCGGTGAAAATCAAGACGATGTTAAACATAAGCCCCGCTTGTCAATACATGTGCCCCTCGGCTGCCTTTTTCAGTCCTTTGTCCCTTGCAGCAGCAGCAAGAGGGGTCACTGAACCTTCCTCGGGGCTCAAAGTGCGCTGCTGGCCGTGATTCAGTGTCCAGCGTCACAAACACAGCAGCTGGACGGGGACAACCACCACGTCATCCAAAGAAGCCGGGACTTTCGGGCTGTGTTCCGTACGACTTGAACTGATAAAAGCGAGGGAGATTCAAATCCTGTCTGCCAGGTCGCAGGAGCAGAAAGAGGAAACCCGTGGCCTGAGCAAAGCACGTAGCACTTCGCTCCATGGAGATCCTGCAGCGGGAATGCCCTGTAGATGTTGCGGGCAAGACGGGCCGGCTGGCAGGGACAGCTTTTCTGGATCCGTGTGGATCTGCAAACGGGTTCTGGCCAAGAGG